CAGGGTATCAGAATGAATAAAAAAACAAGACCCATCTATTTTCTGTCTACAAGAGACTCATTGTAGACCTGAGGACACCTTCAGATTGAAAGTGAGGGGATGGAGAACTATCTATCATGCTACTGGAAGTCAAAAGAAAGCTGGAGTAGCCATACTTATATCAGAAAAACTAGACTTTAAATTAAAGGCTGTAACAAGAGATGAAGAAGGGCATATATAATAATTATAGGGTCTATCCATCAGGAAGAGCTAACAATTATAAATGTCTATGCGCCGAATACAGGAGCCCCCAAATATATAAAACAATTACTCACAAACATAAGCAACCTTATTGATAAGAATGTGGTAATTGCAGGGGACTTTAATACTCCACTTACAACAATGGATAGATCATCTAGACACAGGATCAATAAAGAAACAGGGGCCCTGGATGATACATTGGATCAGATGGACTTGACAGATACATTTAGAACTCTGCATCCCAAAGCAACAGAATATACTTTCTTCTCGAGTGCACATGGAACATTCTCCAAGATAGATCACATAATGGGTCACAAAACAGCCCTTCATAAGTATACAAGAATTGAGATCATACCATGCATACTTTCAGACCACAATGCTATGAAGCTTGAAATCAACCACAGGAAAAAGTCTGGAAAACATCCAAAAGCATGGAGGTTAAGGAACACCCTACTAAAGAATGAAAGGGTCAACCAGGCAATTAGAGAAGATATTTAAAAATATATGCAAGCAAATGAAAATGAAAAGACAACAATCCAAATGCTTTGGGATGCAGCGAAGGCAGTCCTGAGAGGAAAATACATTGCAATCCAGGCCTATCTCAAGAAACAAGAAAAATCCCAAATACAAAATCTAACAGCACACCTAAAGGAAAGAGAAGAAGAACAGCAAAGACACCCCAAACCCAGCAGAAGAAGAGAAAGAATAAAGATCAGAGAAGAAATAAACAATATAGAATCTAAAAAAACTGTAGAGTAGATCAACAAAACCAAGAGTTGGTTTTTTGAAAAAATAAACAAAACTTATAAACCTCTAGCCAGGCTTCTCAAAAAGAAAAGAGAGAGGTCCCAAATAGATAAAATCATGAATGAAAATGGAATGATGACAACCAATCCCTCAGAAATACAAGCAATTATCAGGGAATACTATGAAAAATTATATGCCAACAAACTGGACAACCTGGAAGAAATGGACAAATTCCTAAGCACCCACACACTTCCAAAACTCAAACAGGAAGAAATAGAAAGCTTGAACAGACTCATAACCAGTGAAGAAATTGAATCAATTATCAAAAATCTCCCAACAAATAAGAGTCCAGGACCAGATGGCTTCCAGGGGAATTCTACCAGACATTTAAAGCAGAGATAATACCTATCCTTTCAAGCTATTCCAAAAAGTACAAAGGGAAGGAAAACTTCCAGATTCATTCTATGAGGCCAGCATTACTTTGATTCCTAAACCAGACAGAGACCCAGTAAAAAAAGAGAACTACAGGCCAATATCTCCGATGAATATGGATGCAAAAATTCTCAATAAGATACTAGCAAATCGAATTCAACAGCATATAAAAAGAATTATTCACCATGACCAAGTGGGATTCATTCCTGGGATGCAGGGCTGGTTCAACATTCACAAATCAATCAATGTGATACATCACATTAATAAAAGAAAAGATAAGAACCATATGATCCTGTCAATCGATGCAAAAAAAGCATTTGACAAAATTCAGCATCGTTTCTTAATAAAAACCCTCGAGAAAGTCAGGATAGAAGGAACATACTTAAACATCATAAAAGCCATTTATGAAAAGCCACAGCTAATATCATCCTCAACAGGGAAAAACTGAGAGCTTTCTCCCTGAGATCAGGAACACGACAGGGATGTCCACTCTCACCGCTGTTGTTTAACATAGTGTTGCAAGTTCTAGCATCAGCAATCAGACAACAAAAGGAAATCAAAGGCATCAAAATTGGCAAAGATGAAGTCAAGCTTTCGCTTTTTGCAGATGACATGATATTATACATGGAAAATCCGATAGACTCCACCAAAAGTCTGCTAGAACTGATACATGAATTCAGCAAAGTCGCAGGATACAAAATCAATGTACAGAAATCAGTTGCATTCTTATACACTAATAATGAAGCAACAGAAATACAAATAAAGAAACTGTTCCCATTCATGAGTGCACCAAGAAGCATAAAATACCTAGGAATAAACCTAACCAAAGATGTAAAAGATACGTATGCTGAAAACTATAGAAAGCTTATGAAGGAAAGCTTATGAAGAAATGGAAAAACATTCCATGCTCATGGATTGGAAGAATAAATATCGTTAAAATGTCAATACGACACAAAGCTATCTACACATTCAATGCAATCCCAATCAAAATTGCACCAGCATTCTTCTTGAAACTAGAACAAGCAATCCTAAAATTCATATGGAACCACAAAAGGCCCCGAATAGGCAAAGGAATTTTTAAGAAGAAGACCAAAGCAGGAGGCATCACAATCCCAGACTTTAGCCTCTACTACAAAGCTGTCATCATCAAGACAGCATGGTATTGGCACAAAAACAGACACATAGACCAATGGAATAGAATAGAAACCCCAGAACTAGACCCACAAAAGTATGGCCAACTAATCTTTGGCAAAGCAGGAAAGAATATCCAACGGAAAAAAGACAGTCTCTTTAACAAATGGTGTTGGGAGAACTGGACAGCAACATGCAGAAGGATGAAACTAGACCACTTTCTTACACCATTCACAAAAACAAACTCAAAATGGATAAAGGACCTGAATGTGAGACAGGAAACCATCAAAAAACTAGAGGAGAAAGCAGGGAAAAAACCTCTCTGACCTCAGCTGCAGCAATTTCTTACTTGACACATCCCCAAAGGCAAGGGAATTAAAAGCAAAAATGAACTACTGGGACCTCATGAAGATAAAAAGCTTCTGCACAGCAAAGGAAACAATCAACAAAACTAAAAGGCAACCAATGGAATGGGAAAAGATATTTGCAAATGACATATAGGACAAAGGGCTAGTATCCAAAAACTATAAAGAGCTCACCAAACTCCACACCTGAAAAACAAATAATCCAGTGAAGAAATGGGCAGAAAGCATGAATAGACACTTCTCCAAAGAAGACATCCAGATGGCCAACAGCACGAGCAAACTCCACCAAACTCCACACCTGAAAAACAAATAATCCAGTGAAGAAATGGGCAGAAAGCATGAATAGACACTTCTCCAAAGAAGACATCCAGATGGCCAACAGCCACATGAAAAGATGCTCAACGTCACTCTTCATCAGGGAAGTACAAATCAAAACCACACTGAGATATCACATCACGCCAGTCAGAGTGGCTAAAATGAACAAATCAGGAGACTATAGATGCTGGCGAGGATGTGGAGAAACGGGAACCCTCTTGCACTGTTGGTGGGAATGCAAACTGGTGCAGCCGCTCTGGAAAACAGTGTGGAGGTTCCTCAAAAAATTAAAAATAGAATTATCATACAACCCAGTAATTCCACTTCTGGGTAGATAGCCAAATAATTTTGAAGTAGGGTTTCAAAGACACATTTTCACACCCATGTTCATAGTAGCACTATTCACAATAACCAACAGCTGGAAGCAACCTAAATGTTCATTGATGGTTGCACAGATAGAGAAAATGTGGTGTATACATACAATGTGATATTATTCAGCCTTAAAAAGGAAAAAAAAATCCTACTACATGCTACGACGACATGAATAAACCTTGAGGACATTATGCTAGGTGAAATAAGCCAATCACAAAAAGACATGTGATTCCACTTATACCACATATAAAGTATCTAAAGTAGTTAAATTTATAGAAACAGAAAGTAAAATGGTGGTTACCAGCGGCTGAGGTGAAGGGAAGAAAGGGGACTTGTTTAATGGGTATAGGGTTTCAATTTTGGAAAATGAAAAACTTCTGGAGATCTGTCGTACAACAACGTGAATGTACTTAGCAGTACTGAACTGTACATTTCAAAATGATTAAGATAGTAAATGTTATGTTATGCCAGTTTTTTTATCACAGTAAAAAGATGCATAAAAACCATGGACACAAAGTACAAACTCCTGACACATCAGGAGCAGTCTCAGCCCTTAATGTATTTACCGTCTAGTGAGCTCCTAGGCAGCATGGACTATGTTTTACTTACTGGTGTGTCCTCAGCACCCTGTAGTGTCTGGCGTAGAGCAGGCACTCAAGAATTGTTGGCTAGGATGGGGCGCCTGTGTGACTGAGTCAGTTAAACAACTAACTTAGGCTCAGGTCATGATCTCACAGTTCGTGAGTCAAGCCCTGCTTTGGGTGAGGTCAATCCCCACTTCGGGCTCCACGCTGACAGTTGGGACCCTGCGTGGGATTCTCTCTCTCTCCCTGACTCTCTGCCCTTTGCTCATTCATGCCCTCTCTCTCAAAAATAAGTAAATAAAATAACTATATATAAAGAAATGTTGGCTAAACGAATGAGAAGGTAGAAAGAAAGAAATAGGAAAAAGGGAGAGAAAGAGAGAGAGGAGGCCAGAGAAATGAAGAGCCCTAAGGCAAAAAAAAAAAAAAATTATTGTGCTCTATGTGGGACCTGGAGAAGTGGTATGCCTAGGGCAAGGGGGGTGGCGTGGTCATGGTGTCATATAAAGGTGACAAATGTAGAAAGCCAAACCTCTGGCCCTAGTGTATACTACACAATTAGTCGTGGGCATGTGTTGAACAGAATCATAGCTTGTTGGAGGGCCAGGAAGAATTGTAAAAATTACAGCCAGCTATCCACTGACAAAGCTTGATACATTCTGATTTAGTTTAAATGAGGGGTGTTGCTTTCAGAGAGAAACGTAATCTCCGCCACGCCCTGTTACACCAGACTTCTGAGCCACTCCCAAACGCTGAGGCTCTTAAACCTGCGCATGCGCCAAAAGTTGGGGCAGCAGAGCGAGTGGTGAGTGGTCCCGCTCCTCTCCCCGCCCCCCCCCCCCCCCCCCGAGGGCTATGCCAGTTGGGGAGGACAATGCTGCCGCGTGGGACGCAACACAGTGAGGGGCGTGGCCTGGAGGACGCATTACCCTAGCGACCACCACCGTGGCGGCGCAGACTTGATCTAATCGTAGAGCGGGAAAGGTGTGAGTGAAGAGGTGAAACGAAGAGGGCTTGCTGCCCCAGCCCCCCAGCACCCTGGGGGCTGGCGGGCGGCCATGGATCTGTATCTCAGCAACTGCTATAAGGCTGCCAAAGCCTCCACCACTAAGGCGGCCGCCAGCAGCCTAGCTGCCGCCAGAGAGCAGTGCGGCACCGTGAGTGGCGGCTAGAGCGGTGTAGTCCTTGTACTCCTAGCTCCTGGGCGGAGTCTTGGGTCGGCGGGCGGACGGAAGGGGCGGAGACCTCAGCGGAGCGAGCGGGGGAAAGGGGCGGGTGCCTGAAGACTCAGCTTCAGGCTCCCAGGCGGGGCAGCCCGTAGTGGGGAGTGCTGCCTGTGGCCGCGACCAGCGTTGGGTGGGGTCCAGAGAGATGGCTGGCAACTCGTGGAAGCTGAGAGGTTTTCCGGGGCGTCAGCACAGCGGGCTCTTTCAACCCTGAGTGGATGGTTCTTTGGTTTATGTGGAAGTATTAGCCCATTGAAATGTGTGTGAGTAGATTGATCTAAACTAAAAGAATAGGTCTTAAAAAAAAAGACTTTCTCATTGTAAATGACAGGGCTCACAAAAAGAACCCATTCTAGAGGTCGGAGCAGCTAATCTATTGGATCTTCCTCTTGGGGTCAAGCTGCCTGTTATCCCAGGAAGCAACAATGTATTCTACACTACAAATATAAGTGAAAAGGTAAACTGAGTTTTAATAGTGCTTAAGTGATTTTCTTTATTCTTTTTAACTTGCTATTAAACTTGAAATACTTGCTATGATTTTGCTTTGAGTCAACTTTAATTTCACACAAAAAGTGAAGGTAAAAGAGTTCAAATGTGTAGTGTCTGAACTTCACTTTAATGATGGAAGGACCCATGATATACCTCAGCCACCAGTTCATCCTTAGTTCCAAACCAAAGCCTGCGCTCCCAAAGGTCAGGGTCTTTTCTGCCTACCTAAACATATCATGCTAATTCTTACTTCCGTGCCTTTGTCCATCTGGCTCCTGCAACCTGGCATGCACTTTTCTCCCCTCCTTCTTGACCTTCAATTTGAGCCGTCTTTTAAGAGCTACCGTAAGAAGCCTTTTCACAAGTGTCACAACACAGAGCTAAGCTTTCCTTAGAATTTACATACCATTGGCCTGCACTATCTTAGTTATCACTGAATCAGCACTTTTAGTGATTCGGTGTGCTGCACTCACACTGTTACACATTTTAAGTCCTCTGCCTCTGTCCTTAATTTAGGCCAAGCCTGAAGGAGGTTCAGAACTTTCTAGCTGAGGGTGTGCTTTCATCACAATAGCAAAAGGTTTTACAGGAATAATCCTGACATCCTTATTCTTGCACTGTCTAGTATGTCATCAAGGATGAGTAGGGGCTTCTTGGTATTTCAGATACTTTTCTAATATATAGGATTTTTTTAGGTTTTACTGGTAGAAAACAACAGAGTTTCTCTTTTGAAAACGCATAATGTTCTACTAAATATATGTCAATCTCACAGAAATTGACTGAGTCACACTCCCACAAATTAGCTTTCCTAAAACATACTCAAACCCTATTTCACTACTAGTAGTAACATTCCATTTTAGTTTATAACTGTAGCCCTATCTATTGGTTTTTTTCCTCAGTTATCTTCTATTTGCTATATTTCTATACTGTTCCTGCTGTTCACTTGTTAGCTACTTATTATTTCCAGGGTTTTTTCCTATACTCAATTACACTGATTATCTCTGTATTATATTGATTACCCCCAAAATATATGCATTTAATCATGATCAAGCACTGCATTCAACTCCCCCAAAGACTAACTTTGTGGGATCTTTGTCTTTTAACAGGATCTCCTCAAGAAAGTAAGACTTTATATTTACACCATTAGGTGTTTTTTTTTTTAACTCATTTTACCCTCATCACCACCTTATAAGGTGAAGCTATGATTTATCTAAGGTCACAGGTAGATAGTAGCAGAGTTCAGACCAGAACCATCTCCTGACTCAGGGCACAGTTCTTCACCTGACCTTTCAGCTTCCTCAACTGCAGACCACTTAAGCACATCACTACAGAAACAGGGAATTTAAAAGTCTTTCATGTTTTTTTGAAAGCAAATGGAAGGCAAAATTATAGTATCCAACTGTCTTGTTTTCAATCAGATTAAAATGTAACAATGTAACCTACATATCTTTAGCTATGCACTAATCCAAACCTGACAAGTGATCCTATACTTCAACATTTTGATACCAAACTTATTCTCAAGTAATTTGTTTATAAATTAATTTGCTTATTAGTATACTAACATAGCAACTGTTCACAAACTCCTTAAGTTGCCTTTGTTGTAAAGTTAATAGTAAAAACTTTGCCAATTAACTTAGACATTCTGCTTTCAAGAAAAGATAACCTGTTAAAAGAACAATTTCCATACTTTTAAAATTTTTCCCTGTGACCTCCCACTGGCAGGTAGTGATGTTATAATAGATTCTTCAGTTCAGGGAAACCAATCATTTTAATTGACAATAGAAAACTTAACCCTGGCTTCAACAAATGGATTTGTTTCTTTCTGGATAGGTCAGTAGCCCAGGGTTGGTCAACATATGTCTGTTACCAACAAAAATCAACATCTAAAAGAAAAAGCTATAACCAATCTGCTAATTGCAGCATTGTTTCAACTGCCATCAACTGCTGATCATTTCTTTTCTAGGAAAGATATGGGCTTCTTATCTAGTCCCACTGTAAATTAAATCATTGCCCAGAAGGATGTCTTTCTTTGCCTTTTTAAGGAAACATTGGTAGTCAGTGAATCCAGTTTCCTGATATAGGTCCCTTAAGAAAGACAAGAGGCTAGCACAATCAAGCAGTCAGAAACTTACAAAGGAAGCTTTTAAATCTAAAATGAGAGCTAGAACTCTATCATTCCCCTCTTGTCTTACCCCCTGCCCACATATGAAGCATCCTACCTGCCTTGCAGGAACTCTTAGGGCGACACATCACTGTTCATTAATTGGACGGAGGTTGAGGCTCTCACCTACCTCCAGCCTAAAGACAGCTTTGGTAGAGAAGAGAGAAAGAGAAAGGCAGCGAGATTAACCTAAATCAACCCCCTGTCCACATTCCCTCACTTCAGGTTCTGCTTGCATGCTTTATTTTCACTGAACAACCTAGCCAGTTCAACAAATTGAGGTTTAAAAGTGCAATTTCATCCATTTTACATATGTAATACTTTTGAATCTGTGTGTTTGCAGCTTTACCAGCCTTCTTACGACTTTAACCTGACTGATCCTTATTGCCGACTTTTGGAAACCAGCTACAAAAGTCTGCATGATCCACATTTAAAAGCATACTATAAGCGAAAAGATATCCTAAAGAGATTAAAGAAGGGCGGCTACATCACGAACAATAATAAAGTAGGTTGAAGCCTACTTCCTTTTAACTAGCAGAAGTCTAGGGACTTGATAAACACTTGGTTCTGTTCTTCACTAGGAGCTTGTATCAACTTTGGATAGACAGTAAAGAATATTAGAGAATTCAATTACTCAGTATTTGGATTTCCAAATAAGACTACTTGTTCCTACTTGACCTTTTTTCTTTGATAACAGCAAAAGACAAGCACCAAATGATTCAAATATGTAAAGACATCCATACACACATATTTATTTGTGTATTTTCTCCCAGCTGTATTGTAGTGCCTTTCCTCTTGTTCTAAAAGTAATAATGGCACAGTATACCTATCAAGGAATATTTCATATACCTTTTGAGAAGACTAGAGACAAAAACCTAGCAGAAAACAGCATAATGAAATAAATTGGGGGGAAGATATTAAATGTCATTATTATACTGGTGTTTTAATAACAAATTCATTGGGAATAATAAATTTCTGATTATGATGTGAACCATATTATTGAAATAATATTATTTAGATAGATATTTCCTGGTGATACAGCAGTTTTAGACACCACTTTCCAAATTACTACCAAAATGTGCTGTTATTACCCTTGATCCCAAAATTGTTACTAAAATGAATGTTCTTATGACACTTTTCTCTGTAAAGCTTTATGAATGTCACAATTTTCTGTTTATACATTTGGTTTTCGGTTTTGTTTTTATAGGTCATATGTACTTTGAAAGAATTGAATAAGTACAGGCAGTATCTGACTACTTTAAAATTAGACTTTGAAAGAAACTATATAAAAGAACAAGTAAGTTAATACTTAAATTTGTTTTATTTGGGGCCTGTAAAGATAGTTTTTATGTAGGATTTAGGAGAAAGGTTTGGTCCTCTGCAGAATATCTACTTATAATAGCCTGACCTAAAATTATCAAGGTAACAAATCAAATAAGATCTCTAGAGATCTATAAGAAATAAAGATGAGACTTTTGTCTTTAATTTACAGAGAGAAATTTTCACTTATCTTGAATGGAGCCACATTAGACTGAAATGCAGGTTAACAGAATTAACCATTTGTAAAGTATAGGAGCTTTACTAAGCCCTAAACTCAAGAAGGCATACCAAAGGACAGGTTTATTTCCAGCCAGTATAAAGACCTTATTTTTTTTTCTCTCTCAGAAAATCATTGAAAAACAAGTAAATAAATTGAATGAAACCAAGAGAGCCTATGACAGTTATGGAAACGCACAATTCCAAGAATGGCTGTTACAGGAAGGTACACACACAACTCCAGACCAAGAGCTGGTAATAAAACACAGGTACGACTGAAGTTAATGCATATTTCATGGACATACTATAGACCCCAGGAAGTTGTAAAACTACTAGAAATCATTGAAAGCAGGATGAAAAAAAAAAGTATTAGACACTATTTAACCCCCTATAGTTTTCAACATGGAGAGAAAGGAAAAGGAGATTAAGAGGTAACAGGTTTTGGGAACCCTGGTGCCAAGGCTTGGGAGGAGAGTTTCTTCCTGAGACTGGAGCCACCAGAAACCCAAGAGGTGGGCAAAACTGATATTTGAAGAAATCTAAAGTACAAATCCCTAAGCCTGGGAAACCCACGTCCATAGTAGCAGAGAGAGAGATGTGTTCAGCATGTTTCTAAATTACATTTAAGGAAAGCACTGCAGGGTCAAAAAGAGAAAGTTCCTATAACTTCAGCTGATGCTAATACAAACAGGTGTTGTTCCCCCACCAACCGTGTGTGTTCATTCAGCTATTACCCACACATGTGCACTATTACCATTCAGCGGCCAAACCCATGCCCTAGGAGGCAGAGATGAGTTCTAGTTCTTTCTCTTTGTCCTTTACCAGGGGTGAGGGCCAGTCACCCTTCCCTTGCCTCTTAAATTCCATGGATTCGTGTCATGACATGCTAGAATACGTGCTGATCTACCAAAGTCTCAGACTGGTAATCTGCAGATCTCTCTATACATGGAAGGTCATTCAAGGACTTGGAAATTACAGAGAGACCAGTAACCACTAATTTTTTTTGTAATTTTTTAAAGTTTGTTTGTTTGTTTGTTTATTTAGAGCATACAAGTGGAGGGGCAGAGAGAGAGAGAGGGAGAGAGAATCCCAAGCAGGCTCCATGCTCAGCATGGAGCCCAACACAGGGCTCGATCTCACAACCTCGAGATCATGACCTGAGCCGAAATCAAGATTTGGACACTTAACCAACTGAGCCACCCAGGCACCCTCTACCCACTTATTTTTAAAGGAAATTCAAATTGACTTATGTTTTGAAGTTAGTCTTTAAGCTGATTTCAGCTGCCTTTGGAAATTCATGTTCCTCAAACTGCTGAGCTATAAATAATCTCTGTGTAAAATGTTTTTAATCACTCTGTTCCATATTTTGCCATTGTCCCAGCCACAATAAGATACTTGTATAACAGAGTCCGGTAAAATTAGTATAGCATGGTGAGTTAGTGGATCAGGCGAGCTTAAAGGTCCCTGAAAAACTCTACATTTCCTGTATTTAAGAAACAAAAACAACCCAGAAGGTGGTTTGGGAATATCAAAATAGATAATATCATCATAAGGGAAACACCCAATTTACTTTAACTTATATTTGCACTTTTACTTAGATATTTAGATATGATTAGTAAGGAATTAGACAAGGTTGAGCACACAGCAGAAAAGCAGAGCACATTCCGGATGAAGGAAGAAGAACTACAACATCAGGACCACATTAGAAGAAAACTTAGTCTCTGTAGACAAATTGAAGAGGTGAGGAAAACCAAATTTTAAACATTGAAGGGGAAATTTCATATGTTTGTTTCATTGGTAAACATTTTTTAGCAATCCCACCATATTACCTGAAGCTATTTCAGGTCTAAAAAATAAACCACTATTAAAAATAACAATAATTTAAGGAATAAACCACTGTTTTTTATCAGTTATAATGGACAAGATTTCACTTAACATAGTGAGATTGACACCACAAATTATGTATCCATTGCATTTCTAGTCACTTTCTGCTCTGAAAGTTTTAGATATTAACTCTAGTGAGAAATTATCATGCCTGTATCCTCTCAAAGTTCAGACAAGCCTATTTATTTCTCTGTCAAAATATATTTAAGAGCAACCGATTACATATGATATACCCCTTAGTCAATAAGAAAAAACCCTCTTGTCAACATCTTTTTAGACCCATCTTTGGAGCCAGGCTTATACTTGAATTAAGTTTCCAATAGCAAAATAATTATCTTCCTTTTGCCATTCAATTGCATTCGCCAACATATTCCCAATGAAAAGTGGTAAAAGAAGCCCATTCTAAAGCCAATGTAAGGTTTTTATTATGGTTGACTTGATTTCTGTAAGGCCCTTGACTTGATCTAATTTGCTTATTGACAAAATACAAAAAAAAAAAAAGATAATGAAAGAAAACCCTCTGCTAACTACCATAATATCGTGCTCCTTAGGGATGGAAGACAAAAGAAATGCTTCTTCTAACCAAGATTGGAGAAGAAGTAAAAAGAGAAGCCCGAGTTGAGGAACAACATCATAAACTCTGGGAGGAAGCCCACCGGAAGGTAGAGTGAGCTTTTACCAGTAACTTGGGCTATTTGAGAAAAAGCTTTTGCCAATTTTGATAATTAAAGTGTGAATTATCAAAAGTGGCCTAAACTCATGAGGATAGCTATTGATGGAGAGACCCAGTCTGGTCTGAACCTGGACTTCAAGGGTTGGTCTGAAATGGGACCAGTGTCCAGAAAGTGGGCAATGAGTTAAATTGAATCTAGTTGTTACAATATATTCTTCATGTTGGACAACAAAAGGAAACTCACCCTTACTGCCTTCCTAGCTTTGTACTCATTGTGACTTCAGAAATCTCAAAATAGGAATGAGGGCACCCTTCAAGTAGACCATCATATTTGAAATATCTGTTTTGCATTTCCAGTGGCAAGTTGCTGTTCAATTTTTAAATGTTAAATGTATTTTTTAATATTTAGAAACAAGCACTTCTAGAGAAAAAAATCGCTTATCATTTACAAAAAATGCAAAAGGATGACCTTAAGAGAGAAGGACCAGGGGGAAGTATAAATGAAAACAAAGGACAAGACAAAAGAGAAGGTGAGAGAGAAACAATAAATGATAAAGTCGCTAAGTAGAAGATGGATATCTATATATTAAATATGGTGGCTTTATAAAAAAAATCTCTATGTGCTTATACAGAGAGGTCACAGGCCCCTTGCAAAGGGAAATCCTAGAAGCCCACACTACCTGTGCCAAGCACTATGCAAGGCACCTCCTAGTTACAGCTCAAGTTGTAAAGAATCTACATACATACACAATATTATTTTTTTTTAATTTTTTTTTCAATGTTTATTTATTTTTGGGACAGAGAGAGACAGAGCATGAACGGGGGAGGGGCAGAGAGAGAGGGAGACACAGAATCGGAAACAGGCTCCAGGCTCTGAGCCATCAGCCCAGAGCCTGACACGGGGCTCGAACTCACGGACCGCGAGATCGTGACCTGGCTGAAGTCGGACGCTTAACCGACTGCGCCACCCAGGCGCCCCCACAATATTATTATATATATAAAAAATTCAACGCTTCTATAAAGTGATTCAGTAGACAACACTGCCTGCACTACAGGTTTAAAAAGGAGACAGTATAAAAAAATACAACAAAGAAGGAGAAAGATACATATATATATATAGACAGACAGAGACAGACAGAGAAAAGGAGCAGTAAATGAAAACATTACCAAAAAAGAGAGAGAAACAAAGAGGGAGACAAAAATATTTTTATTTATTTTTTAAATGTTTATTATTTTTTAGAGAGAGATGCAGAGCATGAGCAGGGGGAGGGGCAGAGAGAGGGGGAGACCCAGAATCTCAAGCAGGCTCCAGACTCTGAGCCGTCAGCACAGAGCCTGACGTGGGGCTCAAACCTGCAAATTGCGAGATCATGACCTGAGCCAAAGTCAAGCATTTAACCGACTGAGCTATCCAGGCTCCCCAAGAAAAATATTTATAAAAATGGAAGAAAACATTTCAACTCAGGACCAGTAAGATTATACAAAACAGTAAGAGAGCAAACTAGTAAGAGAAAGAGAGGGGAAAAAGGATTTTTCATTTCCAATTTTTATTTTTTTAGGTTTTTTTAAAGGAGACAAAAGAAGAGACATTTAAAATATACCAAGCACAAAACAGAAATAGATAAAAAGTAAGAACCAAAGGTTAAAAAGGAAGAGGCAGTAAGAAAAAATGGTACAAAAAGAAAAAAATGAAGAAGAGAAGGAAAGAATAAATAGAGAAAAAGAAAGAAAACTGAACAAAATAAACCAGTAAGAAAACGCACACACACACACACACACACACACACACACACACACACACACACACTAGATGAGGTGGGTGGGAGGAAAACAAAAGCAAAGAAACAAAACAAAAAGACTAGAAGGAGAAAAACAAACAGGCAAAGAAAAAAGAGTGTAAGAAAGAAGAAACAGATATACAGGGGGAAAATACAGGACAAAGAGGGAGAAAGGAAGATGGAGAGGAAAGAAGTTTAAAAAGGATAATTCAGTGGGACAAAGCAGAATAAAAATAGAGTGAGAGACACAGAGTCTCTCACAGAGACAAAGGAGTTTGACACAGAGAGTCTAGTGAGAGACAAAGGAGTTTGAGTCATCTAAAAAAGTCAGTTCAGAGGCGCCTCTGAACACATGATTTGATCTTGGGGTCATAAGTTCAAGCCCCACGTTGGGCATAGAGCTTACTTAAAAATTTTTTTTTAAAGAAGTTGGGGTGCCTGATTGGCTCAATTGGTTAAGCCTCCAACTCTTGATTTCAGGTCAGGTCATGATCTCATGGTTTCATGAGTTCTAGCCCCACGTCAGGCTTTGTGCTGGTGGTGTGGAACCACCATTTAAATATTTTAAAATAAATAATAAGTCAATTTAAAAATACATTAAAATTAGGGGCACCTGGGTGGCTCAGTCGGTTTAGCGTCTGACTCTTGATCACAGCTCAGGTGATGATCTCACGGTTCGTGAGATAAAATAAACTTTAAAAACATTTTTTTAAATACTTTAGATGGATGGATCAATCAATTCATATATACTTAAATACATACATTCATATACAATTAATTCATATATCCTTACATAAATTCATATACAGATACATAGAACTGATTTTTTAAAATATTTTTAATGCTTATTTTTGAGAGAGAGAGAACAAATGGGGAAGGGGCAAGAGAGAGAAGGAGACACAGAATATGAAGCAGGCTCCAGGCTCTGAGCTGTCAGCACAGGGCCTGATGTGGGGCTCAAACTCACAAACCTTGAGATCATGACCTGAGCCGAAGTCAGACACTTAACTGACTGAGCCACCCAGGTTTCCCAATAGAACTGATTTTTAAAAAGAGAAGCCAGTAATAAAGACAGGACACAAAATAGAGGGAAAAGGGAAGAATAATTTAAAGTAGTGAATATAATGAGAGTAAAACAAATAGGGGACTGGGGCCGGTGGGATTAAGAGAAGGAAGGGACAGGAAGTAAATATGTCTATTAAAAGGGAAGAGTCTGGGAAAAGGAGTAACAAAGAGTGTGAACATGAAAGACAGCATGAGGATGCTGAAAAGGAGAAGCTAGTGAGAAAATTAAGTACAATCATGGACAGGAGGAGGAAATCAAGGTCTAAAAAGAAGAAATTAGTTAACAAATACAGTAAAATAAAATAGATACAGAGATACATAGATATAGAAAAGACTGGACTTTAAAAGTACAGTCCACTAAAAAAAGGAGTGTAAGAAAAGATAAATAGTAAGACATTATAGGAAGCAGTTATGACAGCTTAAGATGGGAGGAAATGATGGAAGGGAGGGAAGGAAAAGGAAAGCAAAGAATTTTGAAAGGGATGAGGCTAGGAAACTTGGTAAAAAAAAAATAACAAGATATAAGAGTAAGAGACACAGGAGTTTAAAAGCAGAAACTACAGTGAAAATAAGTACAATTGAGGAAGGCAGGGAGAGGGAAAAATGTAAAAAGACATCACTTAAAATAGAGTAAAATAAAGATAGGTAAACTGATGAGACAGTTCAGCAGTAGTGGGGGGGATGGATGGATGGACAGACAGACAGGATTTCAAATAGAAAAAACCAGTAGTAAGACTGGACAAAAAGAAAACAAAAGGAGAGAGAAGGAAAGAAGTTGTTATAAGGAGCCACTAAAAAGAGAAAGGAAGGGAAGGAGCAAGAAAAAGGAAAGAAGGAAGTAAAGTTTGTATAGGATGAGTCAGTAGGGAAAAGTTATTTGCAAGAGACAGATGTGAGACTATCAAGGAAGACCAGTAAAATAATCAAGTACAGAGGTGCCTGGGTGGCTCAGTGGGTTAAGCATCTGACTTTTGATTTCGGCTAAGGTCATTATCTCGAGGTTTGTGAGTTTGAGCCCTGCATTGGGCTCTGCACTGACAGTGTAGAGCCTGCTTGGGATTTTCTCTCTCTCTCTCTCTCTCTCTCTCTGCCCTTCCCCCACTTGCACTGTCTCTCTCAGAGATTAATTAATTATTAAATTAATAAATTAATTTTAAAAAATTAAGTACAATTGTGTAGTGTGCAAGAGATTTAAAAAGTAGAAGACAGTAAAAGAAAGAATGTAAAATAAAGATACAGGGGATTGATAGCCAGATAGATGGCCAGCCAGCTGGGCAGGTGAATAGGTAGAAAGACCTGATTTTAAATAGGAGGAAGCAGCAGTGAAGACAGGACAAAGATGTATAAAGAAAGAGGGGAAAGGGGGAAAAAGTTTAAAAAGAGGAGTAGTAAAAAGAGAGTAGAAGAATGGCAGGAAGAAAAGAAAAAGAGGAAAGAGGGGGAAGGAGAAAGAAAAGAGGAATGAACACAGGAAGGTGGGAAAACCAAATGAAGGAACACAGACAGGAAATAGAGAGTGAGTGCATGAGTGGTTGGGTGGAGATGACAAAGGAAATAGGAGGAAGGAAGAAAGAAATGAGGGAAGGAAGGATGAAAAGGTAGGAGGGGAAAGGAAGGAAAGAAAAGAAAGAAAAAGAGTCAGTAAAAGAAATGGAGTGAGTAAAGATCTGAAGAAAGGGAGGGAAGGCGGAGGAAGTGAAGAATGGAGGGTAGAGAGATCTAAAGAGAAGTCAGGTAAAAATAAACGTGGTTAGATAGATGGAAACCAGGTATATAGGCAGACAGGATTTTATGAGGAGGACCTCATACAAAAGACAATATTAAAAGATAACAGGAGAGCGGGCACCTGGGTGGCTCAGTCGGTTAAGCGTCTGACTTCAACTCAGGTCATGATCTCATAGTTCTTGAGTTCAAGCCCCATGCCAGGCCCTGTGTTGACAGCTCAGAGCCAGGAGCCTGCTTTGGATTTTGTGTCTCCCTCTCTCTCTGCCCCTCCCCCACTTGTGCTGTGTCTCTCTGTATTTAAAAAATAAATAAATATTAAAAAAATTTTTTTAAGATAACAGGAGAGAGTATGAAGGGAAACAAAGTTTATTCATTTTTTAATGTTTTTATTTATTTTTGAAGGAGAGAGACACAGAGCATGAGTGGGGGAGGGGCAGATAGAGAGAGAGAGACACACACACAGAATCTGAAGCAGGCTCCAGGCTCTGAGCTGCCAGCACAAAGCCCGGAACCCATAAACCATGAGATCATGACCTGAGCCAAAGTCAGACGCTCAACCAACTGAGCTACCTAGGCGCCCTGAAGGGAAAAAAAAAAGTTTACAAGGAAAACCAGTAAAAAAGGAGTATATGAAGAATGGAGGGAAGGAGGGAGTAAAGGAGGAGGAAAAAAGAGAAGAAAGGAAGTGAGGTGGGGATATGAGGAGAGAGGGAAGGCAGGGAAGTAGGGGTGGGGACGGAGGGAGGGAAGGAGGAGAGAAGGCAGGGGTGCAGGTTCACCAAAAGAAGGCAAAGCAATCCAGAGGAGGACAGCAAAAGGAGTAAGAAAGAGACCTAGAGACAGTTGATAAAGATCTAAAAGTAGAAGGGAGGGAGGGGGTGTGGAGAGGGAGAGAAGGAAGGCAAGAAAGAGAGGAATATTCTAAAATGGGGTGAGACTAGGAAAATACTAAAACAAAAAGAAGAAAAAATATTAGAGAGACACAGAGAAGTTGAAAAGGAGGAGCTAGTAAAACATGATGTACAGAGTAGAGGACAGAGAGAAAGAGATCTAACAAAAGTCAGACAAAAATAAAAATAAAGATGGAAGGAAGACAGCTAGATGATAGGTAGGTAAACGGTAGATAGATAATAAAAGGTAGAAGACACCAGAGGAGAATATGTGAAAAAGGTAGAATGAGAGAGAAAGAGAGGAGAGAAGAAAAGGAAAAAGGTCTGGAAGTGGAACCAGTGCAAAGTGAATAAAGGAACAATGGGAAGAAGGAAGGAATGAAGGAAGGGGTAAAAAGGTAAGAGGGAGGTAGTGCAGGGAAAATGGGGGCAGTGGGAAGGAGGGAGGGAGAAATGAAGACAGGAAGGACAGAGGGTGGGGATGAGGATAGAGATACAAAAGGAATGTAGCAAAGAGAAGGGAGGGAGGGTGAAAGGAAGGAAGACAGAGCAGAAGTAGGAAATAAGGGAAAAAAGACAAGTTTATGAGCAATGAGTCAGTAGGGGAAAGTGTTAAAGCAGAGAGGGAGACAATGGGAGGGGGAGGAGCCAATAAGTAAAGCAAGTGCATTGTGAATGATGGGGGATTTACAAAGCAGTAGTCAAGTGTATGTCAACTATACTTCAATAAAACACATAAACGTCAATAAAATACAATGTAATAAATATGGATAGATATCTAGGTAGGTAAATGGATGGGTGGGTAGGTGGGTGGATGGATAGATGGGATATACATTGATAGAAAGATAGATACCTAGATAGATAAAACTGATTAGAAAAAGGAGAAACCAATAAAAAGAGTACATAAAAGAGTTAGAAAGGGAAAGAAAAGAAATGGAAAACTTTTTGGACATGGGCCAGTAAATAGAGAGTAAAAGAAAGAGAGAAGATGGATGGACAGGATAAGATAGAATAGGGCAGGGGAAGATAGGATAGAGGAGGATAGAATAGGATGAGGCAAAATAGGATATAGGATAAGTTAGGGCAGGATAGGATAGGATAGGATAGGATAGGATAGGATAGGATAGGATAGGATAGGATAGGATAGG